CTTGTGCTTTTATCTACAGACAGGATTTGCAATTGGACCCTGTGTTAATATCTTACTAGTGTCACGCACTCGATTGAGTTATTTAACCTTTTTTTCTCAATATTTTCATCTATAAATAGGAACAATAACTTTATATGGTAGTATATTATAAGATACATGTTATATAACTTATAAGATTATTATGAGAGCATAGCAAAATAATATGAAAAAGCCTAGCTTGGTGCTTGTCAACACTGCTGCCAACTAACCTAAGCTAGCATACCCTGAAATGTCAAGTTCTTTCAATAAATAGAAGGGGAGCCTCGTGCAGTTGGAGCTAGGTTATGCAAAAGCTATGTTCCCTTCCCCCACAACCTCAATATCTGATAGCATGCTGCTATGAAAGCAAGCCTTGGACAAATTCTGCTAAATGTCTTAAAGTTCATTAGCAAACAGTTACAAAAACAATCCTGCTCTCTGCCATAAGCTGTATGAGAAGTTCAATCAAAAGACCTTCTAAACTTAAGACCAGCAGCCTTGGACTCAGGGCAGGTGACAGGGGCCTCTTGTAAGGTAGCAATTCCTTTGAACACTTCATCATCGGTATTAGAGATCTGCACATATACTTCATGCATGCAGTGGCAGAGGGCGTGTTCAGTCTTTTACAAGCCATCCATCTTGAACATTACTCATTTTGGCAGTGAAAATTATTCTCCAACATGTCCTATTCTAATTAACAAACTCTCTGGTGTCAATTTCCATAACCATATCTCAAGTACCAAGACTGCCTTTGGGGTGTGGATTTCTGATTAGAGTACTCCAGCACTAACTGCTCTTAGGACATGGATTAGAGCTAACTTGTACACACATACATAAAACTGGCTTATACCGAGTTAAAGTATTATCCCACAGGTAATATACCAGTGATATGTTTGGTTGATAAATATTATAATCACTCTCCCTTTCTAGATCCTTTACCTTTGTCCATCCCCATCCCTTACCTCCCACCCAAAGACCCAATAGAATAGGTGACTAGAGGCCTTTGTAGCCTAAATGTTTACAGAATCTAATCAGAAAGGGTGGGATTAGAGGGAATTCTACATAATTTCTCCCCCAGAAATAAAAAAAGCTCATCATGTATCTAAATGGATGTGTTTAGAACAGTATAACAAGGGTGAGATTTTTCCATATAATATATATATAATTATCGCTAGATACACAAACTG